TGGTGATGATAATGGTGCTTGTGGTATTGATGGGAGTACTGCTGGTGATAAGAATGATGGTGATGATCATGATCATGATGATGGTGATGATGCTAGTGATGGTGATGATCAGGTTGATTCTAACTCATGGTAACCCTAATATCATAGGTACAACTTGCTGGTGACAAGCGAACCTTTGCTCTTAAGATGTTAAAGAAGCATCATATAGTAGAGACAAGACAACAGGACCACATCATGTCAGAAAAGAAGATCATGATGGAGTCCAATAGTGCCTTCATAGTTAGGTGAGACAACTATAATAATAAATAAATAAATAAAAAACTTTATTTCTTTTGCGCACTTATCCTATGCTCAATGCATTAACCATCATATATGATAAAAACTAGTTGCAGGTCTATTCAAGTTAGACAAACAAAGAGCAGCCTTTGTTTCTTTTGGTGTCATTAGATCAAAAGACACTTAGACTATTGACTTTTGGCAAAGAAATTAGCAAATCAAGGTCCCTTTACTCTTATTGAACATGAAATGGAATCAGCATGTGATCCAAACTCTAGTGGAACCATGAGAACAGCGACAATCAGTGCAGGAGAAAGAGAGGATGGATCTAGAAGGTCCCAGAGGATGGGGTAGTCATGGTTTGTTGACTGATGGCCATTTCTGTTTATTGGCAGGTTATACAAGACTTTCAAAGATAAGAAGTACTTGCACATGTTATTAGAAGCATGTCTTGGTGGTGAACTGTGGACCATCCTACGAGACAAGTAAGATCAAAATCCATACCACCAAATATATTGTTTAGTTCCAGAAAATATCCATACCTCCACCATGGAGGGAATTTGCAAAAGGACCTCCCTACCCCCCAGGAACTTCCAATTTTCTTCCATACAAAATCTGTAAAAAAAATTATTTTATAGTTATATTTTAAATTGTTATACAGTGTATACTTTTTATCTTGCCAATTTATGAATTTTTCATATAGCAGGTCCACATCAGCCTTTGGCTGCTGATGCATTTATTGTTATCTGCAATATCTGTAATATTAACCTGCTTTATTATTAAAGGATTGATTGATTGACTGTAATTTTGTACTTTCTCTGCCCCCCCCTCCTCTCCTGAATTTCCGATTCCCTTTGTGGGTGGGGTATGAATATTTTCTGGAACTACATACTGGCAGGTTAGGCATAAGATATATGTAATTAGGATTTAGAAATACATTTTTGTGGAGGGAGGAAAACTGGCAGAACCCTGAGAAAAGCTCTCAAAGCAAAGAAGAGAATTAAAAAACAACTCTATTTAAATATGACACCAAGCCCAGGGATCAAAACCGGGTTGCATTGGTGAGAGGTGAGGCATTAACAGCCCACACCACTGGCATGTTTGATCTGTGTTCTACAGAGTCGTTAATCTACTTTTTATTATTCTATTCTATACCAACAGAGGTTCATTTGATGATGGCACCACTAGGTTTTACGTAGGCTGCGTTATTGAAGCTTTCCAGTATCTACATGCTAAGGGGATTGTCTACAGAGATCTCAAGGTATGTATGGTTTAAAACTACTCAATGAAAAACCTAAATTCCAAGTCAATGTGTGTGGTATCTGTGCCCTGATTTAGATCATTCAGGGTAACAACAAAATTTGAAAACATTTTTAAACCAGAATCTCAATATGGCACTGGAATCACCAGGGCACAGGTTCAAATCCCGTACAAGACTCAGACTTTTTTCTGAGTCTTTCAATTTGCAGCTGCATAAGATGCTTCATATCCTGCAAGGATCAACTCAATTTGATACAACCACAGTACAAATATGATTATATTTCATACATATTCTCATACACATATAAATCACTTTTTTTTCATGTTTTATTTTTGTAGCCAGAGAACCTTCTTCTAGATAGCAATGGTTATTGTAAATTGGTAAGTCTCCTTGAAATTATAATTATGAAGTAGTCCAATATTTCATTCAATATATTTTTGCTCTTCCAACATACGAACACTGCCATCAGATCTAAGTCATTTGATATGATACTTGTATGACTTTGAAGATTTCTTTTACTTAAGAAATAAAACAGCATTTTTAATGCTCTGTTCAGTAACAAGCAACAGTTTCCAACTAATCAGATTGCATTTAGAAATGTGACTTCTCTTATTCAGTGCTCCATGTTAATGGTATTTAAATCTAAGGCCACAAGTCTAGACTAAATGTGCATATTAGCTAATGCAACCTACATGTGGCCATAAGTTCTTATAACAAATCATTGATTTTTATAATTTATGATTGCAAATTTAGGTTGACTTCGGATTTGCTAAGAAAATTGGTTTTGGACGCAAGACGTGGACGTTTTGTGGCACACCTGAATATGTAGCACCAGAGATTATCCTTAACAAGGTAATAACACTGTATACTTTCACTATTGATTCTACCTAATGTTAATAGTCGAATGGTAAAAATGTCCTTCATTTGAGTGTTTTGAATGTTCAATGTATTTGCATACCTCTGTGCACAGGCGTTCTTGTAAAACTGACACATTTTATTGCAAAGCTAGCTGGTGTTACCAAATAAGGTGTGTAAAAGCTTGTTTGACAATGCAAAGCTTGTGCATAGAGGTATGCAAGTACATTCATACAAGGTCATACTTTTAGACGTGCTGTAAATTTGCTTGATGGAAGCAAAAAACCAAGACGACTTGAATTACATAGCTCGTAATCATAACAATGGGTATACTGTGTACCAGTATGTCATAATAATGTGTTAACATTTGTGCACAATAGGGTCATGACTTATCGGCAGACTATTGGTCTCTAGGTATTTTAATGTATGAACTTCTTACAGGAAGGTATGTATGGTTTCTTATTTTTAAATTTGCGACGGAGCCCAATACCGAATATATTTTCTTCCCACAAAATATTGTCTTCTCAAAAATATAAGAGACTATTTAGTGAATCAGGATACTCTTCATTAGAAATATAAGCTAGCTATTGAAAAACCATTTAAAGGAAATCTAGGGTGGCATAGCGGCAGTTCGCTGTCACTACTGGGGTCTCGGATTACCTAAGCATGTACATATATTACAGAAAGTATCTGGTTCTTTTGCTTCCATTACTTTCACTACCATTCATGGTACTACACCATGTCCAAGTCTGTTCGCTACCAAAAGGAATTGCAAACCAATAGCGTAAAAAAAATTACTTAAATATAATCTAAATTAAGTGTGTATTTTTCTCTGCAGTCCTCCTTTCACAGGATCAGATCCTATGAAGACGTACAACATCATTTTGAAAGGCATAGATATGATTGATTTCCCACGCAAGATAACGCGCAATGCCCATGCACTTATCAAGAAGCTCTGTCGGTGAGTACTTGTGAGTACTTCTATATTCAAGTCTAAAATTAGGCTAACATAGATTATTCACTTTGTTCTTTCCTGCCGCAGTGATAATCCTGTCGAACGGCTTGGATATCAGAAGGGTGGATTGAAGGACATCATGAAACACAAGTAAGAAAAATTATTGATATATAATAATAATAATTGTTAATAATTATTATTTATTATCTCCAATCAATCAATCAATCAATCAACCTTTATTAATGTGTCAATGTATTTAGTCTCAAAGACTAATTGGGGACACAAATAAATCATCAATAAATATATCTATACAATTATGGGGGGGAAAAAAAGAGAAATTAAGCTAAAATTAAATCTACTAATAATTTCTAAAAGCTATATTAATAATAAAATATAATTGAAAAAAACCTAGAAAAATATATTAAAATCTAAATATAAAAATTATATATGATGTATTCATGTTGAAAATAAATCTAATGTTCTAATCTAGCTATGAATTACAAATTATGCATGAGTCACAGTTGTTGTTAATTAAGTCTGCAAGATTTTTACTCAGTTTTCATATGATAATTAAAGAACAAGACTAAAACTATCCTTTTTTATGCATATTATTGCAGGAACGTTGTCATATAAAAATAGCAATATTAGGAATTGATTATTTTTTGAGCAAAACAGGAGTAATTATTTCACCTTTTTGAAGGTATAGACTGACATTTTTGAAATCAACCTGTTGATGTATATTAAAACAGTTATTCTCATCAATCTAAGGGGCTTTAGAATCAAACTATTTAAATTATAATACACTTGAAAATTACACAAAATTACTTGATTCTGATTGCACAAGAGGAGTACAATTAAATCCCAAATTGTACTCTGTAGAGTCCCAATTAAGTTGCTCAGTTTTGTTGAGCGTATTATAAACAAAAAATCACACAATCTTCTCATACAATTCAGAATATATAGATACTTGTGATGTTTGAAAGTTCTCAAATTGGACTCACCTAAAAGGCTCGTCCAATTTTGAAAAWTTTCTAAACATCCAAATTGTACTCGAGATCGTGCAATTTCCTATACAAATATTTATAATTCATTCCTATTTGTTATTCATTATTTGTTATTTTGATATGACAACGTTCCTGCAAATAGGTGTATATTTATCCATACTTCTTTTTTGAATAGATTTTCACTGTATTCTTTGTACTTTCAGGTGGTTTGATGGTTTCAACTGGGAAGGTCTAAGGCAAAGAAAGTTACAGCCCCCAATTATACCAAAGGTTTGTTGTGTTCTGTCCTTCAGAAATAGACTTCTTTATCTTGGGTATTATATGTTTTCACATTTAAGACCACGTGCCATTCTCTTGAGAATAAGATTCTTTGTTTGAGTCGTAGACATTTTCCTGTGTCTTCTCATGCGCAATCATTAAACAAAGAAATGATACTCTAGGGAATGACATAATGGTTTGAAATGGGAAAACATTAAGCCCAAGGTAAAAAGATTTATTGAACTAGAATTACCAAGAATGTTTTCCTGGAAGATTGAAAGGGGCCAACTTTCAATGAATCCACACATTGTGGAAGCTGGTTAGATGATAGTCTTTGATTGGTCCAGAGTCAGACTGTACTAACAGTTCACAGTTGACATCCAAAAATAGATGCTTGAATAACCAGATGTCCTTGTTGTGATCCAGAACCATGCAAAGACATTTCAATTTCATTTAACATAGCCACTGTTCAACCCCATAGAGGCATTGCCCTAGCATGTGATGGCAGCCATGACATGAGGCAGGAACAATTGAATCCGGTCTAATCTGGGTTACATGAGAAAGGGTAATTCTGGAGGGGGGAAGAATACTCTATTGTTATGACTCCTGTCATGGCTATCCTGTCATCACATGATGGTGCAAAGCCTCTATTACCAACTAGCTCGTAATAAGTTTTCCCGTTCCTATTCTGTCATAGATCAAATCAGCCACAGATGCATCCAACTTTGATGACTACCCTCCAGATGACGACGTTCCCCCAGATGATGCCACTGGATGGGATAGGGATTTTTAATCTTGTCATTTACTAAGGTGCATGTACAGGGGAGGGATGCATAGAAGAGAATACAACAATATCAAGACTTCAACTCCACAACAACATGAGAAATATCCAATCTACATTGTGAAAGTGTGACATTAAGAACAGTGAAATAAGATGTGACATGGATACAATTGACCACACAGGAAGGTGTGACATAGAGAAGCCGGGAAGGCGTGACACTGGGGATACTTTTTAGGCAAGGAAGAGTAATGTGCATTAAGAACAGGAACACAGTTGTGATAATAAATATTGGACTTTATTATGAAGCTGGCAATGATGAAAATGGTACCTGTTTACACAGAAATCAGAATATCACAATACCAACAATTCTATTTTAAGACATTACTTAATACCTCCGGTAGGTGCAGTTACGAACCACTGTTTAGTCGCTGCTTACTGCAGTTTTAGAGAAGTTGTGAGCTGCACTCTGAAATTCGATTTTCCGTAGCTGTCAATCAAAAATTATTAGTTTATATTTATGATCGGTGGCAGTGGAAAATCAATTTCACAACAGGAAAGATGATGGAGTTTGCAAAACATCAAAAACTGCAGTAAAACACACAAAAAGCAAAACATCTTTGAAAAAACTTTGAACCAGCAATTATTATTATTATTATTATTATTTATCCTTCAATTAATCAATAATATGTACTGAAATCTCAGTACAATTGCCACATTTATTTCCCCTTATATAAAGGCAACTTTTTCATTTTACGTTGACGATTTACCATGTTTTTCTATTTTGTCTGCCATATTGAAAAGTAACCAAGGCTCTTGATGATACAAGGTCAAGGCCTGGTTTTATTTCAATATGGCTGCCTTAGTCATGAAGTAAATAATTTGATTTAGGTATAGTTCTTGCCCAGTGAACAACAGATCTAGCTAGCTCGTGGTTTAACTGTATCATTATTATGAGAAAAGCAATTTTTAATTCAGAAAATTTCTTAGCTCACTTTAGGAACTTTTCCTTTTTATAGGGGAGGGGGTGGTAAGGTTGACTACAAAAAAATGTAACCCCACCCATCCCTCTCTCAGTAAAAAAATAAATGGTTCCATATATCCTAAAGTACCTGCTAAGAGAATTTTTAAAAGCAGGTTTATTCCATCTTTCATGCCTCGCACCTAGACATGCCTTGCAACCTCAAGTTAATGTAATTTACATTTTTTAAAATTATTATTCAGGTAACACGATAAATTCCAATTCAATTTGTGTTAGTCATACCCTGAATTTGATCAGCCCAAAGGTTGTTTCAGGGTTCAATCTGTGAGTTGGCCATACCCTGACTTAGATCAGCCCAAAGGTTGTTTCAGGGTTCAATCTGTGAGNCAATCTGTGAGTTGGCCATACCCTGACTTAGATCAGCCCAAAGGTTGTTTCAGGGTTCAATCTGTGAGTTGGCCATACCCTGACTTAGATCAGCCAAAAGGTTGTTTCAGGGTTTGATCTGTGAGTTAGCCATGCCCTGAATTTGATCAGCCCAGAAGTTGTTTCAGGGTTCAATCTGTGAGTTAGCCATGCCCCGACTTAGATCAGCCAAAAGGTTGTTTCAGGGTTCAATCTGTGAGTTAGCCATGCCCTGACCTAGATCAGCCCAGAGGTTGCTTCAGGGTTCAATCTGAGTTAGCTGTGCTCGACTTAGATCAGGCCAAAGGATGTTTCAGGGTTCGATTTCGTAGTTAGCCATGCCTTAACTTAAGATTTTTCAATATTTTTACTAACGTCTACACAAGACAATAGTTTTTCTTTAGAGCCTACCTCATATTGGATATATTTTTATTAGTTATTTTAGGCAAAGCATGAAGGATGCAAACTCTTGATATAAAATACATGTCTAAAAACACTGTATCAATCAATACTATTTCTCTTACTATAGAATCCTTTAAATTCCTTTCATTCAAACCACAAGGTCCTGCTGAAAATAATAATATTTTATCTGTAAATAGAAAAACTTTTAAGTTCTACTGTCATGATTTCATGATAAACTGTGAAATAAATAGAAACCTTCTAATACTTCTATCAATATTCTTTTTACTTATTTGCCTATAATCCATGCTTTTTGCCCGAAAGTGGCCCAAAATGACCTATTTTGCATCCTTCATACATAATGCATATTTTTCCAAAAGGTGTGAAAATGGGCAAAAATCGATCAAAACCATGGGCTATAGTCCATGCTTTTTGCCC